CTCTCCTCCTTCTCCTCCTCTTTTTCCTCCTCCTCCTCCTCCTCCTCCTCCTCCTCCTCCTCCTCCTCCTCTTCCTTCTCCTTCTCCTTCTCCTCCTCCTCTTCCTTCTCCTTCTCCCTCTTTTCTTTCTCTTCCTCTTCCTCCTCCTCCTTCTTCCCTTGCTCCCTTCCTCTCTCTACAATCAGTTTTAAAATAGGAAAAGATTCCAATAAGCCTGGGGAATTAGTGGAAAAGGAAAAGAAGGCATACATTGGGCGGGGGCAGTGTCCTAACATTTACCGACACCCACTCGGCGCTGAGCGCTCCTTCTCACCTTCATTCAGTCCCCGCAGGAACACCACTGCGCAGGTATTTTTACCCCGTGTCACAGATGAGGAACCCGGGACTCAGAAAGTGAGACAGAACTGAGGTCTGACTCACCGGACACTCCCGTCCTCTCCGCCACTGCCCTACGTGTGCCGTCCTAGATCCTAGATGGCAGAGCTGTCTCTGAGCCCACTCCTCTCCCTGGCTGGCTGGCCATGCTTGCGGGGCTCACATGGCTCTCAGAAGGATCCAGACTCTCAGGGGATGTAAAGGGCTTTCAGTGCCAGGGCCCGATGGGGACTGGGGGCACCTGCCTCCTTGTCCTCCAAGCAGACAACCTTGAGCCACGGAAGACGATCCCGGGCCTCGTGGGGAGGCGGCGGGTGTGCCTCCGGCAGGAACAACTGCGGAAAATCACTGGGCCTCCTTCTCAGGTTCCCAAAGGAGGGAGGCGGGGGCAGGGGAGGGAGCTGCAGGGGCGCCTTCGGGTGTTGCTGTTTTTGGTGCCTGCACAGCTGATGGTTTTCCAAGCTGAGTAACACATACACACAAACTCCAGCCTCCTCTGGCTTAAAATAGAGCCGCCACACGGAAAATGCCAAGCACAGGGCAGAGTCACCTGCCTGGCGGGCCCAGACAGCTCCCCCGCGACCCCAATAGCACCCATCCCCAGCAGCACATCTGACAAAGCACCTCTCAGCTGCGTGTCACGAGGTCCTCACAATTGTGGGGGGACAACCAGCCAGCACTCATCAGTCCCATCTTAGAGACGAGGAAAGTGAGGCCCAGAGAGGCGACAGGAAGGGGATAAAGCCAGTGGCATCTGGCCTGATGGGGCTGGGCATGGGAAGGATCAGGACTGTGGTGGCCAGACAGCCTTCCCTGAGTTCAAGTCCTGGCTGGGCCACCACCTGGCTCTGAGGTCTTGCAGGCGGGGCCTCTTCTCTGTGCCTCTGCTTCCTGCTCTGGGAAGTGAGGGCTCCATCAGCATGTCTGTAAGTGTGCCGAGCAAGGACAAGTGTTCACCAGTTTTAGCTAGGCCCCTGCTGTGGAAATGAATTCCTCCTCCTCCTCCTCCACCACCATCACCACCACCACTACTACTACTATACTACTTCTTCTTCTTCTTCTTCTTCTTCTTCTTCTTCTTCTTCTTCTTCTTCCTCTTCCTCTTCCTCTTCCTCTTCCTCTTCCTCATCTTTTTTAAGAGAGAGTAGAAGGGAAGGTGAGAGACACACAGAGAGAAACATTGATGTGAGAGAGCCACATTGATTGGTTACTTCCTGCATGCAACCCGGGCCAGGGATCATGTCTGCAACCTTGACTGGAATCTAACCCGGGATCCTTCAATCTACCGGCTGATGCTCTATCCACTGGGCCAAAACAGCCAGGGATGGAAATGAATTCTTGACATCTGTAGTCAGACCGTTGTAATTGAGGGTGGGGAAAAGTGGCTACCCGCTACCAGGCACAGGGAATGTGACAAACTATATTTTATATTAGCTTCGACAAGGTCCTATGAAGCAGGCATCATTATCACCCCATTTCTCAGATGGGAAAACCAAGGCACAGAAAATCACAAGTGTTCTATCCACAGACACCTTCCTAGAAAGTGAAAGAGCTGGAATTGAACCCAGGTCTCGTTGCCTCCAGCGGTGTGTTCATGACCCCGACCTCAATAACTATCCTTGGTGTAAGCCTGATCCTAAGAACAAGCCTTCCCCACCCCCACCTGTCCCAGCAAGCTCTGCTCAGGCCCTTCTTGTGCAGTAGGTCCTCGGTGTCCTAACCACCCCAGTCTGGGACCGTAGCCCGGGTTTCTGCTCCTCTGAAATCTGGAAAAGAATCAGAAAATCAAATTTGCTGATGCCATTGCTAAAAATAAGGCCGAGGTAGCAGTGCCAGCACCCCGCTTCTAGGCCACTGGGCTGCAGTCCAGCTTCCAGGGGGTAACGGGGTGCAAGGCTCCCCCCTGCAGGCACCGGGCCTGATTCTGCTGGAGAACATCGCAGGGGCGGCTGGGTGCCGTGTCCTATGGGTCCAGGCCAGTGCTCAGCTGTGATAACGGTGATGGTGGCTAACCCTTCTAGACAGGTCTTCAGGCCGGACACAGCTCTCAGAGCACCACATCTGCTGGCCCATTCCATCCTCACAGCCACCGCAGTTGTTCCCTGTTGCTACCATGACAAATTATCACAAACTTAGCAGCTTCAACAACACACGCATGTATTGTCTTCCACTTCTGTGGTGTGGAGGGCTACACAGGGGGGTTGGGCTACAATCAACTAGGACTGCAGGCCGTTCTGGAGGCTCTAGGGAGGGGTCCGTTTTCTTGCCTTTTCCAGATTCTAGAAGTTGCCTATTCTCCTTGGCCTGTGGCCCCTCCATCAATCTTCAAAGCCAGCATCGTGAGGCAGAGTCCTTCTCATCTCGCCTCTCTCTGGTTCTCCCACTTCTGCTTCCATCTTCCAGTTACAAGGACCCTTGCGATTGATTACATTGCGTCCACACAGATAATTTAGGGCAGTGGTTGGCAAACTGCGGCTCGCGAGCCACCTGCGACTCTTTGGCCCCTTGAGTGTGGCCCTTCCACAAAATACCACGTGCGGGCGCGCACATACAGTGTGATTGAAACTTCGTGGCCATGCGCAGAAGTCAGTTTTTGGCTCTCAAAAGAAATTTCAGTCGCTGTACTGTTGATATTTGGCTCTGTTGACTAATGAGTTTGCTGACCCCTGACCTAGGGTCATCTCCCAGCTCAAGATCAGCTGTTTAGCAACCTTAATTCCATCTGCAACCCTAATTCCCTTTGCGATGTAACCTAGTATATTCACAGTACCAAGGATAGGACATGAGCATCTCTGGGAGGCCAATATTCTGCTGGCTATAGCACCTAAAGAGATAGGAACTTTTAAACCCCATTTTACTGGTGGGAAAACTGAGGCATTGATTTCAAACAGCTGGTAAACAACAGAAGTGGGATACGAACCCAGGCAGTTGAGGTGTACCGTCCACGCTCTTAGCCCCTACATGCTGTGCTGCTCCTTTTCCCACAGGTCACTGGTGTGTTTTCTGTGCCAGATCCGGGTGCTGGGGACACAGCGGTGAACAAGATACCTGTCTTCAGAAGGAACGCAGTATGGGATGCAGGAATCACAATGCAATGTGAGGGACACAAGATGGCAGGAGGCAGAGGCTGCTGGGGAGGAGTTAGGAAGAGAGATGATCAAGTAAACTGAGAGCGGGAGGATGGATAGGGCGTGAGCCGGCTGCACCTACAGCACAACCAGACCGAGATAATTAAGGGCATTAATCCTTGTAAAGTGCTTCCATCTGTGTCTGGCCCCTGGCAGGCATTCAATAAAGGCTGGCTGTTGAGTGGATGGGGAGAGGACAATTCCAAGCAGAGCAAGACTGTGCCAGGAGCTGAACATTTAGTGCAGGGGGGCTTGGGAGAGAGAGGCTGGAGCAGGGTGGGGAGCAGGTGGCACACGCCAAGGCCGGGACCAGGGGACGAAGGAGCTTCGGACAGCCGCAGGAGAGACTGCCGGGTGCTCTGCCCAGAATCTCCAAAGACCCACCCCTGCTCTGAAATGAGTGTCGTCTTGGTGCTGGGGGCCCGGAGTGGATTTCTTGGAAAGTGAGTGACGTCCATGGGAAGCTTCTCAAGCACCCTGCTGTTCAGGTCTAAGACCCAGGGGCCATCTGTGAGTGCCCCTTTGCCCTCCACACCAAGCTATCAGCAGGTCCCGCCGCTCCGTGCACGAGGGCAACACTGGCTGTGGTACCAGACTGACCCCATAACGCTGGGCCTTAATACAACAGAAGTTCAAAACAGGTGCTCCCGATGGGAGAGGGCTTTGCAACCTGTCATTCCAGCACCCAGGCTCCTTCCACCCTGTGGCTCTGTCCTCTGAAGACTGCATTCAGCCTGCGGGTGGGAAAGAGAAGTGAAGCCTGGCGTGGGAAAGGCTTGTATGGGCCTTTATGGCCCAGGTCACATTCCATTGGCTACAGCTTCGAAGTGAAGTGAGTGAGGCTGGGAAATGTGGCCAGCCCTGTGTGCCCAGTTCCACCTCCCTAACCTGTCTCAGGCCCATCAGCTTCTCCCCATCTCCAGTGCTGCTCCCCTGGTCCAGGCCACCCTCAGCACACATTGGGACTGCAGGTCTCCACTCTTAGCCATCTCCCCTTTTCCTCATGGCAGTGAGGAAAACCCTTTTTAAAAATGTCCATCAGATCATTGCTGTATTTGTTTTCCTGTTTATAGCGTTTCCGATTGTCCTGGAGAATAAATCCATATAAGGGCCTGTGTGAAGTTGCCTTTCTGTTGTCCTTCGGCTCCCCCCTCCTCCAACCCTTCCCTCTCTCCCCCCTCAGCCCCCCCTCCCTACCTCCCCACACAGCGCCCTCATTCTCCAGGCTCCAGCTTCAGTTCCTAAAGGTCCTGCACTTGCTGCCTGGATGCTCCGCAGTCACCCTCCTGGAAGGCCACCCTCCCCCCCACCCCGCCCCCTCCTTTCGCAGACCCAGGCTTTGGGCGCTTGGCTCCAGATGCCACTGTTTGCAGACACATTAGTCCCAGGGCGCCAGCGGGTAAATAAAGGCAGATGTGTGGCAGGGGCTGGGCGGCCGTAGTTGGGGCGGCCCTGCCCCCCCCCCCCCCCCCCGCTCCAACACACGCGCCCCGAGGCCCCGCCTCTGGGTGCCCCACTCCAGCCACGCGCAGCCGGAGCTCCAGCAGCGCGGGTCCGGGCGCCGGCCAGGGCGGAGCGGGCACCGGCGGCCGTCGGGGCGCATGGCCCCGGGCCGGACGCGGCTGGCTCGGCGCGGAGCGGGGCTGCCATGGAGCAGCAGAGCGTGCGCACCGCCGCGCTGGTCCTGTGCATCCTGTCCTACCTGCTGGTGGGCGCCGCCGTCTTCGACGCGCTGGAGTCGGAGGCGGAGAGCGGCCGCCAGCGGCTGCTGGCCCAGAAGCGCAGCGAGCTCCGGAGGAAGTACGGCTTCTCGGCCGAGGACTACCGCGAGCTGGAGCGCTTGGCGCTGCAGGCCGAGCCGCACCGCGCCGGCCGCCAGTGGAAGTTCGCGGGCTCCTTCTACTTCGCCATCACGGTCATCACCACCATCGGTGAGCGCTCCGGAGCCCCCATCCCAAGCCGCCTGCGGTCCCTGGGTTTGCACCTCGCCTCTGCCCCTGCCCAGGGGGTGGCTTTGGACGAGGAGTCATTTCGGCGGCTCCCCGGAGCCGCACTTGCTTCCCGGTGCCGGGAGGGCTGTCATTCCAGCAGGCTGGGCTGGGAGGAGTCAGTGGGGCCAATTTGCCAAGAGGCTGGCGCGCAGGAATGCCCAGAAAATGCTCCGGGGACTGGGAGGCAGACCAAGTGGGACCTAGGAGCCCAAGCGGCTGAAGTTGCCTCCTCGGCTGCACCGCGCTCGCTGTGAGGCCTGAGACAAGTTGGGTGCTCTCTCTGAGCCTCACTTTTCTCCTCTTTGGAGTAGGGGTGCTAGTCAGCACTCTTTCAAGCCATGGTGAAAGCATTATCACCCGGGAAAGAATATGTGCAGAAAGTTTCAGCAGGGGGCCTGGCACACAGAAAGCACTAAAAATAGAGATGGATTTCTGTGTTATAGCTGTTGTTCTGTTGCTTCCTAAGACTGGGGATCCTTGTCTGTTTCAGTCACTGCAGCAGGGCCAGAGTCTGGCACATAGTAGACACTCAATAAACACAGGTTAGAGGGATGACTGATGAACACAGCTTTGGACCTCACCCTCGGAGATCCAGAGCACTTTCTGCTTAGCATCTGGGCCGCCAGCCGTTGCCATGACCACCGCGTGGCTGGTACCTGTGGAGCCTAAGCCTGGGGAAGCAGGAAAGGAGAGAAGCAGGCTCTGCAGGGCTCCTCGCTGGGTGCCAGCCGCTCCTGGGCCCAGGCTGTGGATGTGCAGGTGCCCCCCTGGAAGCCCAGGCCGTGGAGGAAAAGTCTCTGTGACGCTCTTGCAAGTGGATGTGAGCTTGTGGGTGTGGCAGCGGCGTTAAAACCCGAGATCTGCAATGACATAGTTTCACATCTATCGCCGTCCTGCTTCTCTGAGCCCTGGTTTCCTCAACTCCAAAATGCAATTGCTCCTAGCTCACTGGGGGGGTTGCCAGGCTTAAATGAGGTCAAGCAGGTAAAATGCTTGGCACAGTGCCCGAGGCTAAGTGGGCACTGTTAATTAGTAATAATGACAATTCATTGTTTGCCAACTGTGGGCCCAACTCCCATTCAGCCCTTATGACCCCTCCTGTCAACATGGGCATCCCTGCTTCTCTACCTTGGCTCAGCCTAAGGACACCGCCTCGTGCTCCTCCCCACCCAGCCCTGCCATCACTGTGCTGGGTAGTGTGGGACCCCATCCACCTCTTCCGCTTTCCCACGCTTTCTTTGGGGGCCTCCCAGCTGTGTTTGGCCTCCTCTCCTGGTTGTTCTCCTCCCTCCCTGCCCCTCTATCCCTCCTGCCCCCCATGTATCTGAGAGCCTGGGGAAGGGACTACAAGGGGAAGCAGGAGTTTTGCCTTTTTGCCCGTTTTGGGGGCGCTGAGTGGTGCGGGCTGCATAAGGCCGCCTTGCAGACAGCTGGGACCCAGGAGCATGAGCACTGCGAGGACAGGAGAGAAGCAATGAGGACAGGGGTGAAGAGCTCAGGCTTGTGGTCTCTGGGCAGCTCCATCCCTCTCATCCTATTTCCTTCTCTGTGCGATGGGGACCGAGTCATCTCATACAGCCCAGAAAGGGTTAAATGATAACCCATGTAAAGTACCCGCATGGTCAGCTCTCTTTATTCATGTCCTTCTCTGCCAAAACCCGGGCATAGCCCCAAACAGCTGGAAACAGCCTTCCTGGCCTCTGATTCCCAGAGAGGCCCCTCTGTCTCAGACCACCTTCAGTTTGGTTTGATCGTTATTGTTAATGATTACATTTTCGTTGACCCCTTAGCTTATCTCCAGGTGCCCTACACCAGTTGAGGGGACTGAGTGGAGGATCACTCCACCAGACGAAGGAGGTGTTTAGGGAGAAGGGGCTTGGAGCAGAACTGGGAAGGAGAGTGGACTGGGGCAGGGCAGGTAGGGCATCGGTGGTGGAGGTGGTGGTGGAGGTGGTGGTGGTGGTGGTGGTGATGGAGGTGGTAGTGGTGGTGGTGGGAGCGGAGAGAGGAGAAGAGGCATGTGGTGGGGGACATGCTGGCTGGGGAAGCAACAGGGGAGTCTGCAGAGGTGAGGGGGATTGAGATCACAAAGGAGCTCAGACACCATGTGAGAACTAGTTCTTTACCCGGTTGAATATTGGGAGCCACGGAAGAGTTTGCCTTTAAAAACAAAACAAAACAATTTACATACAGTAAAACCCACCATTTCAGTGACAAATGAAGTCCAGCCAGCCGCATTCCGGACAGAACATTTCCATCCCCCTCCAAAGTCCTGCACGCCCTCCGCAGTGCACCCCTCCTCCTCCGTCTCAGTGACTGGCCACCACAGATCGGCTCTCCGTCTCAGCCGTTTTCTGCCAGCGAAACATTTAACTGGAATTACACAGTTTGTGCCTTTGGAGCTTGGCTTCCGCTTAATACATGTGAGGTTCGTCCTTTGTTGCTGCAGATAACCGCAGCCCGTTCCTTTCCATTGTATGGATGCACTTCGGGTTATGTATCCGTTTTTCCAATCAAGGGACATTTGGGTTGTTTACAGTCTGGGATGATAACGGTAAACGTGCAAGGTTTGGAAGGCAGAGAATGGCCTAGACAGGTAGAACTAGCATTTCAAGTTGCTCAGCCCGCTCTGGGGGATGGGAGGCCGAGGGTTACATACGGCCTTGTCAGATGGCACTGGGTACTCACCACCTCCCCCTCCACTCTCCCTCCAGGGTACGGCCACGCCGCCCCCGGCACAGACTCGGGCAAGGTCTTCTGCATGTTCTACGCGCTCCTGGGCATCCCCCTGACGCTGGTCACCTTCCAGAGCCTGGGCGAGCGGCTGAACGCGCTGGTGCGGCGCCTCCTGCTGGCGGCCAAGCGCTGCCTGGGCCTGCAGCGGCCGCGCGTGTCCACGGAGAACATGGTGGTGGCCGGGCTGCTGGTGTGCGCCGCCACGCTGGCGCTCGGGGCGGCCGCCTTCGCGCACTTCGAGGGCTGGAGCTTCTTCCACGCCTACTACTACTGCTTCATCACGCTCACCACCATCGGCTTCGGCGACTTCGTGGCGCTGCAGAGCGACGAGGCGCTGCAGAGGAAGCCGCCCTACGTGGCCTTCAGCTTCCTCTACATCCTCCTGGGGCTCACGGTCATCGGCGCCTTCCTCAACCTCGTGGTCCTGCGCTTCCTGGCGGCCAGCACCAGCACCGACCCGCCCGAGCGCGCTGATTGCCGCGCCAGCCCTCCCCGCCTGGGGGCGCCCGAGAGCCGCGGTGCCGCCCTGACCCGCCGCCCCGAGCGCCCCGGGGGCTCCTCCTCCGTCTCCTACCGCATCCACCAGCTGGAGATGTGGGCCCGCGACAACCTGGGCTTCTCACCCCCCGGGAGCCCTGGGGCTCTGGGTGGCCGCGGCGGGGCGGGCAGGCTCCCTGCCCGGCGGAAGTCCATCTGACAGCCCTACCCCGTTGGGGTCGAGGGTTTGGGTTAACCTGCCAGTGCCCCACTCTCCCCGGAGCCTGGGGAGGGGAGAGGGACCTCTGGGGAGGGGAGAGGGGCCTCGGCTGCAATGCCATCTTCTGCCACAACCAGGTTCGCGTTCCCTTCTGTGGCCAGCCCCTCTCTCATCTCCAAAAATATATTAAAGTCATGTCATAATAAGCACAATTACGATTCTAACGTCACCCAGGAGGTGCAAGCCCCTACAGTCCAAACTGTCTTAGGGAGGCGTGGCCACACTGCCCGGCCTCTGGAGTGGACACAGGTGGCTGTTCTGCTGCGGGAGAGGCAGGGTTTCGTGTTGCAGGGAAAATGCACGGCTTTGGAGACTGGAGTCCCGCCTGTGAGGCCAGCTGCTCACACCATGAGACGACAGGAAGGACACGGACTGATGGGAACGGACCCGTCTGCTGCCCAGCGTGGACCAGCGGGCAAATAGCTGCCGTCTAACCGATCTTGCTCTCTCGCTCAGCATGTAGAGAGGAACTGGCCCAGGTGGGACTGAAGCGCGTTCTCCCCACCCCAGCGGATGTTGTCTGTCCTGGGCCAGTCCCACTTCGGGATAAGGGGACCTTGCTGGCATTCACCACGTCACTGAGGCAGTCTGGACGCGACAAACTGCCGTGAGAGCAACTCTTTGGGAGTTGAGAGATCTGGGTTCTGCTAGCCCCCACAATGTGACTTTGGTAAATCCCATCCCCTATCGGATAGTATCCGGTCCTCTGTTAGATCTCATCTGTAAAATGACGGGGTTCACCTAGAATCCTGCTCCCTCCTATGTATCCCTGGTTCAGGATCAAGGGGGGCATCACAAAAGGCCATGGTGGGACATGAGGACATCCTGCAGCACCCAGCCCCTGCCCTTAGCTTCCCAGGCAGAACGGCCTCCACACAAAGCAGAGCAAGACCAGTTAGAAAAGCCAAAAACTTTAATCGTCAACATGAGCTACATGGTCATGAACACAATGCAACGTGACCCACTCCAACCCAGGGGCCGGAAACCCTCCCTCCCCAGAGGCCCGGGCGGCCCCTGCTCCAGGAGAGGGGATGACGGGGAGGGTGGCGGGTGGAGAGGCCTCAGCCCGAGGAGCCCGGGGCCTGCCCTCCTGCCACCTCCTCGGGAGGCAGCTGAAGAGCGAAAGGGCTCCAGAGCTGCTGTCTGAGGCCCTGGGTTCAGTTCTCCATGTTGCTCTCACAGAAGCCATGATTGAAATGGACACGATCAGCCTCCCTGCGGGGTTTGTGAGTCAGATGAGCTCATGGACATGAAAGCTTCTCATCACGGAGGTGCTGCCACACAGACACGGGGCCCTCCCTGAGGGCTGTGGGGGTCCTCACAGGGAGACGGGGGGGCGGCCCGGTCCCCAGGGCCTGGCACAACGCTGCTGCTCAATAAATAAACACAGGTGGCCTTGCCTGACGCAACAGCTGTGCTCCAAGGGGAAGGGGCTACGTGCTGTTCTGAACCGGCAGTGTGCCCTGGAGCTCCTGGTTTAAGGACCTGCCTGGCTCATCAGCTTGCAGAGTGCACAGCCACCCCCGAAACTGCTGTGCTTACCGGCGCAGGGAAAGCTCGAGCGGCTGGGAGGACCGAGTTCTGGTGTGTGCTCAGCCACTAGCTCACAGGGGGACCCTAGCAGGACGTTCCCCTTCCAGGGCCTCAGCTTCCCCCTTTAAAATGACCCCCACCTACTGCCCAGGGGATCCTCTGAGGGTAAAAGCACTTTGAAAGCAAAAACAACAGGAAGATCAGATATTACATCTGAAGGTTGTGTGAGGATCTCACCCCCGCAGCCCCCGCCAGGAAGTGAGCATCTTACCTCCCTCGAGCTAGTCCTACAGTTATGGCCCCTCAGCGGGAGCCCCTGCCCAGTCACCAAGATCTGGACCAAACCCTCAGCCAGCTGGGCCAGACCTCCAGGAAAGCTAGATATCTAAGGCAAACCCAGGCCCAGAGAGATGGAACCGAGCAGGAGTGGATGACCCAGGGCTTACAGGCCACAGCTACCTACCTGGAGCAAGGGTCTCCTGTCCCGTGAAGGAAGGAAGCACAACGGAAGGAACCCTGTTCTGATTTACTGAGGAGTCTTGGGCAAGCCACTTCCTGATCCTGGGCCTGGTTCCTCGCCTCTCAGGTGTGCTACCATTGGCCCTCACACCTTTTCAAGGCCACTGGGAGGCTCCATTGAGAAGGAAGGAGGAAAGGTGATGAGAAATGCTAGTCCCCCTCATCCTGCCCTGGCTCCACCCAGTGCAGCCTCAGGTAGGAGGCCCACTGAGCTCACAGGTGCATTGATGCACAGGCCTCGCTCTCCCGTCTGTAAAATGGAAATGGCTTTACTAATGGTCCCAGAGCCCCTTTCCCTTTCGTATGAAAACCAGGTTCTGGAGGAGACTAACTCCCACGCCACCACTGCATGTGACCTTTGGACCAAAGATTAAAAATAAACTCGGTTCCCCCAGAGACCCAGCTCCTCCCCACCCGACTCCCCCCAACGCCGCCCTCTCTGATCCTGTCCGAATGGGGGAGTTGGAGCGGCGAAGGCTCCGACAGCAGTGGGGACAGGATGCGCTTGAAGGTTCCCAAAGCTAATAATGAGCACAGTCACCCCCTCCCCAAACCCCTATCCCCAGGTGAGGACGCGGTGGTTCCCACGCTAAGTGGAGGGTCAGAGACCCTTGGAAGGGGGAATGTGCTCACAACGATGATACAAAGAAAAAGGGCTCCAGCCCCCACCCAACCCACCCCTCCAGGAGGTGAGCTGAGATTTCACAGAACAAACAAGAAAATCAGTGAGGGGGCCCTTGGGGGCAGCCCCAGGATGTTGTTATTGCTTTGGAGCTCTCTCCCTCTTCATGCATGCTGCGCAGACACCAGAGGGTGGGCTCAGGCTGGGGAGCACCAAGCCTCTCTCCCTCTGGCTGGGACAGCAGGCTCCGCCCCGTCTTTGAAAACTACCCCTGTACAACCGGGGCGTGACAGCCGCGGAGAGAGAAGGTGCTCTCCTGGCTCAAAAAATTCCAAATGGCGAGTAATAAACAGAGAAATCACACTGGTTAAAACACACACACAGTGAGGGGCTGCTTCTGGGCCTCAAGATGCGAGTCCATCCAGAGCCCAGCTGCCTCCTGACCAAGTCTTGGGGTTCCACCCCCACAAACTCCGGGAGCTCTGGAGGCCTCCTGAGTGAAGGGGCCTTTTCATCACCCCTTCCCAATGCAGTGTGAGGGCTCCATGAGGCAACTGCGCCCAACCAGACTTTAAAGGATGCCCAGGGCTCAAGCAGGCCGGGGAGGAGAGGAGGGACGAGAAGTGGGGGTGGAGGTGGGCTAAGGAATTCCAGGTGGAAGGATCACCTGGTCAATAGCCTACAGTGGAACCAGGGACAAGGTGGGACTTGGACACAGCCGGGCGTCCTCAGAGGAAAACCACCCCTCCTAATAGCGTCCAGGCCCCCTCCACCAAGGCCCACATCCTCAGCAATGCTTCATAAAGAAAACCAGTACCAAAGGATAATAAATCAGAACGTCTGAGTATAGTGGGCAGCTCCAGCTACAATCCTACAGGGGGAGGGAGGGGGAGGCAGGGGGAGGAGGGCTGGCTTCCTGAGCCCAAGGCCCAGGCCAGCAAGGAGACCGTGGCCTCCTGGAATGTACGTGTGTCTCCCCTCCACCCCGCTCCGGGACTCTGGGAGAACTACGTGCGAGCTAAGGACAGGCCCCAGGGCTTAGAACGCTAACTACCCAGCTACCCTGGACTACGCCCTACACAGCAGGGGCTGGGTCATGAGGGGCGGTGGACTGCTGGGTGCCTCCCAGGGGAGGTGGCAGAAATGTGCTTCTAGAAAGAGGGGCCGGCCCCAGTCCTCCCCAGCATGCAGAAGGGCTTCCGTGGGCCCCGGGGAGGGCTGGGCCGGGCCCTGCTCGAGAAGGAATCTCACAGTTCTTTTGACTCCTACCTCCTCTCTGTCTCTCCTTGAGCCAAGGAAACTGAGGCCAGGGCAGTGGGTTCTGCCCTTGTACACACGGTTTATTTAAAAAGACTAAAATGGGGGGATCTGTGGCCTCTCCAGGCCCCGAGCCTGGAGGCAAAGGGATAGGCAAGGTGACTTTTGACCTCGTCCAACAGGAAGGGGTGCTCCTGTGTGGGAGACCCCTCGCCTTGGCACCACCAATTCCAACCCCAGCTTCCCCTAGATTCCCTCTCCAATCCAACACCCCACGACGCAGAGACAGCGAGCCCTCAGGGCTCGGGGTGCTCAGAAGTGAAGGTCCCACAGCTCCTCCACTAAAACCCAGATGACAACGTTCCTTCTCGACCCACAGTTTCCACGGCGACCTGTTTCCATCGCACAGAGCCCGGCACCCAGGGGCCTGGGCACCTCCTTTCCTGTGGTCCCTGCTGGACCCCAATTCCGCTGGAAGAGAGGCAGGCAGGAGGGGACAGACAGATGGACTAGGACAGGCTGCGGCGAAGCTTCTTCCGCGGGCAGGCGGAGGGAGGCCGGAGCCCCTCGGAGCTGGCTCCGGATCCTTGCAAAGCTGCCCCGTCAGCTCTGGGGCAGGTGTAGCTGCCTGAACCCGGTGCCGCAGGAAAGACACTTGCTGGTAGTTGGCACCACGGAGATGGCTGCTGGGTTCTGGACTTGGCTCCGGGGAGCGAGCTTCCGAGGACGCAGAGAGGGGAGCCGTCAGACAGTGTCTGGGGCAGGAAGAGTGGTCTGCTCTGCCGCCTCAGTCTTTCCCTTCTTCAGATCGCAGCCACATCCACCAGGTCAAGAACCGGCCAAGTCAAAAGTGCAGCCAATCCCACTGGGAGAGGAGAGGTCTCAGGGGATAGGAGGCAAAGAGGGGTGAGGAGGGTCCCAAGGGGGGTAGGTCTCCCGATTCTGCTTCCCCACCGTGGGGAGAACCCCGTCCTCCTCTGTCCAAGATGCCCCTGGGCCTGGGGTCCCAGGGGGGGGCGGGGTGGTCTCCAGGCCATCTCAGGGAGCCCTTCCCCGTGCCTGGCACTAAGACTGCTCGCTGCAGGGCCCCACGGTGCTCTCGAGGGACAGCTGGGATGCCTGCCGGAGCAGGGGCCCCGTGGCCGGGTCCACCATGGAGGAGGTGGGGAAGAGCTTGTACCAGCCCACGGCCAGGGTGGTCAAGTCCAGCTCCTCCAGCAGCACGCGGGCCACACCCATGAACTGCTTCCGCTCCATCCGTCCGTAGTTCCCCCACACGATCACCTGTGGGGCAAGAGACACAGGGCTCCCATCATCCAGTCCACACACAGGTCCACCAACAGACCCTGGGGGAACCCTTATGCCCAATTCTCCTCCGAGTCCTGTGGATTCAACCACCTTACAACTGCTCAACCTTAAAATCACTCAAGTTCGACCCTATCGTCCTGACTCCATACTTCAATCGCTGTTCGCCCAGATGGCTTTCTGCCTCCAGTCTCGCCCTCTCTGTCCCATTCCATGCTCCACAGGCCCCATCTTGGGGTCCAAGTTGAGGGCTGACCCTACATCCTGACTTCCCTCCCTGCGCCCTCTGTTTCCAAAGCCCCAGAATCCTCTTTGTGAAACCAAGTTTTAAAAAGTGGCAGGCACGTGCATAGTATCTGCATGATTTTCTGCTTGTTTTAAATTGTATTTGAAGGGTTTTTGCAGACTTTGTGCCGGGTCCCAACCCAGGCTGGGAATCAAACCTGCAACCCAGGTTTGTGCCCCTGACCTGCCCTTGACCAGAAACCCAACCTGCGACCCTTCAGTGCTAGGGCTGATGCTCTAACACTGAGCTTCACCAACCAAGGCTTGGCAAACATTTTTGACAGGGATCATCCTTAGCCATCCACACATGGGCTTCACAGCTGAAAGGAGTGTCCCACGAAAGACTTACCTTGCTATAAGTGAGAAATGTTTTCTCTCCTATCCATTCCATTGAAAAACACAACACAAAACTGCTGAGACCAGCTAAATTGAGTTCACAATTCACTGATGGACCTCAACCCACAGGTTGAAAACAACTGTCACAGACAGGATCTGGGCTTCTCAGTTTAGCAAGAGTCCCACTGTCTTGGCAACTGTAACACCTTGGCCCCAGCCACATTGTCTTTGCCTGCCCAGGTGAGGATCAAGAAATTAGGTCCAAGCCACATATACCCAAAAGACAGCACCAAGAGGACAGGCTCCTGCAGGCCTCTCACCTGGGCCCTATCCAGAATGGGCAGCTATTTCTTGCTCCAGGTCTCAGTCACCACTAGTATTCTCCTGGTGGCCAGAGGGCCAAACACATATCAAGATACTCAAAAGGCTCCCGGTTTATTATCATTGTGCTTTAGGCCAAACTCTGGCTTCCAGAGGCTGATGATGATGATATATAATGATTATGATGATGGGAACCATTTGTAGAGAACTTACGATAGACCAAACTTGCAAATACTTTTCTTACACAAAGCACACATCTTACTGTTACTGTCACTATTATTAGTAGGTATTACTAATGTCCCCATTTTACAGATGAAGAACCTGAGGCTCAAAGAAACTTGTTCAAAGTTGCACAGCAAGTTGTGGAGCTCTGATCAACCACAGCACTCTACCTCCTCCAGGGGAGGCCCTCCCCAGGAGCACCTTCCTCTCCCTCTAGTACTGTGTATACACACACACACACACACACACACACACACACACACACACACGCACACGCACACACGCACTCCCCTCACCTGCAGGACTTTGCCCTGG